AACAACAACTGAATTGATAAGAGCAGTTCAGTGCTTTTCTTTCCAAATAACTTAACTAGAGAGGGAAAACCTACAAAAAACATATTAGTAAAGAACAGATAATAAAAATATAATAGATAAAAAAAAACTTATCACAAAGTTGATGTTTAGAATTGAAATTCCACAATACAGTTTTAACACAAATGCACTTGAACTATACTAAATCAGATATTAATGTTAATTACACATGACGTAAGTGCTTAATGTTTGGATACCAAAGGATGATAACTATAACAAATGATTGTTTGTTCTGTTTTAATGTGCCTAGATTGCTACAAAAAAAATGATATAGGATGTTATTTAAAAACCTAAAATACTTTTGTTAAGTTTTTGTTTTTATCAAAAATAATGATGTAAATAAGCATAGAGATAATTTAGAACCACCATATATCCAAATTCTGGGCTGATATAATAACATGATGATTATAACAAATATTCAACAAACATAGCATAGAGATAATTTAGAACCACCATATATCCAAATTCTAGGCTGATATAATAACATGATGATTATAACAAATTATTCAACAAAAATAAGCACCTCTTAAACACTTAAAAAATATTTTTAAACACTTTAAAAAAATATCATAATTAGGCAGGGTTGGAAAGTTTTTGACAATCGGCGGTTTTATCTTGTTTTAACCGCCATGTCAAAAAAAAAAAAATTTGAAATTGTTTCAGACAATTATCAAAAATCATGAANATCCGGATTTTTTTCGAAGCACAATCACCTCTGGGTAAACCTAACGTAAACCATAAAGTTTCAAAATATCAAAATGAAAACAAATTATGGCAGGATTACTTAAGAGTAGACAATGAAAAAGTGATCCTACCATAATTTGCATGTATTTTGATATTTGAAGAACATTTTTTTCAGCTTTTAAAACTACACTAGATTTACCTAGACACTAAATGCACCGAATTCACTTTTCCATAAACTTTAAATTACTTATGTAGGTGAAAGTGAGATTGCCATGAAGAATTTCTAGCACCCTCTTTATAATTGGATTCAAAAATGGTGTAAATAAGAATAACTACTTCTAAATATTTTACTATTTAGTATAACCATTTTTAAAGGTAAAATGACTTGTTCCTCCTATATGAAATTAAGAGTAAAATGAAAATAAGACTTACAGATATGAATGGTGAAAGCACCCCATTGAGTAGAGCTGGCATGGAAGTTACCGTTCTCAACATGAGGATATCGAGTACTGACAGTCTGGGAGAGAAGCCTGTTAAACAAAGCTACTCTAGATCCTGAAGCAATGCACACTGCAATGAACAAAAAATACATTACTCTTTAAATAACATACATAATCAATACATATTCATAATAAAAATAAGAATAAATAACAGGATGCATAACCAAATTTTCGACTAAAAATAAGCACCTCTAAAGTACTTTTTAAACACTATATACATTAACAAAATGCAAAATAATTTTCAAAGACATTATAAGATCATGATAAAAACAACCTAGTTTCTGGCAAAGAACTCTTTTCTGATTATATTAGCTACCATAAAAAGATCAAACTTTTTTTGGTTCGATTTCAGAGGGTGGAAAATGAAGCCTGAAATTGAGAATATCTTGAAAAATGCAGCAGAGTTGCACATGAGAGTGCAAGAATATCACCGAACCCAACTCAGTAGTCACTCCCATGTATTTCATCAAACATGTAACATGATTGGCGCTTTCATACTCTACCGACCAACGCTTTGCCAAAATTAATTTTCTTGAATGAATTGTGAAAATAATTAATAGAACAATGTGAAAACCATGCTTTTGCATAATACACAGCGAAAATCAACACAGTCAAGAAAAAAAATCTCATTTTCGAAAATTAAAAATTAAGCACTTATAAAACACGACGCATATAAAAAGCACCTTTAAGAGCTTTTAAAAAACAATTGAAAATAAGCATCTTTAAGCACTCTTAAAAACGCTACGCACCTTGAATAAGAAAGTTACAAAAGCAAAATAAGATACAGGCACAAGATAGAATTTTGTTGCAGAAATATTTTACTGGAAAC